TAGCCTAAGTTTGAATCTTATATATTTTTACGTTCTCTTCAAATTTGACCTCATTTATCAAATTATTTAGTCAACCCTGTATAAAGGAACCTGCTTCCGAGTGTTATGAAGATCTACTGGATTAACTAGCTTCGTGCGGGTGGAATCTACCAGTCACTTTCTGAAACAAATCCAGAATATCATGTGACAAATTTTGTGAATGATTATGATGAAATCAATGAATTTCCTAGAGATGCTAGATGAAACATGGACATTTGATTATTAAGATTAGAGGCACAGCATAGATATGCTCTTTTTAAATTATTTTGTGATATTGCTATTGAATTGAATTTTATGGTTTAAGTGCGAAGAACATGATATTTAATAAATAAAGGTAACACGACAAAACGTTAAAAAATGCCCCTTTGGGCGTAATATAAAATGTGAAAGCTCTCAGATTTTTATGTTGCTCTTATAGTGTTACGAATTTTATATATATGTAAATAGTTTTGATGAAATTATATTTAAAATTGTAGTATGTTTTATATCATGTAACATGAAAGACCTCAGGACTGTGAAGCTGGCGGGAAAATTAAGGTTACAAGGGCAAATTTATTTAACATTGAAGTAAATGGTTATCTCGCCAAAATGTCACAAAATGGTCTCCAAGTTTGGCTAAAATTTGGCCAAAGACCCTGTCGCCAGGTTCGGCCAAAGACCTTGCCTAAGTATGGTCCAAGGCCTGGTTGCTATGTTTGGCCAAAAGTCTCCAAGCTTGGCAACATTTTGGTCCAATCCCTGTATGATTAGAGATTTGTTAGAATAGGAGTTTCTGTATGATTAGAGATTTGTTAGAATAGGAGTTTCTGTATGATTAGAGGTTTGTTAGAATAGGAGTTTCTGTATGATTAGAGATTTGTTAGAACAGGAGTCTCTGTATGATTAGAGGTAATTGGTCTGATTTCTGTATGTAACTTAAGTGTATCCGGCGTATATGTAACTGTAACTGTATATGCCTTCCAACAATTTCGAGAAATCAAAGGTACTGTAAATTTCTCGGTGTCCAAGGGAAAACTATATAAGACTGGAGAGAGCATCAGTTCAGAGTTGAATTCGGAGTTTTGAGAGCTCTCCGTGCGAACTTCGTTCTTTATATGCGCTTTGCATTGCGCTGTGTTTAACGATCTTAGTAGTTTAAAACGGTAACTACTGATTGTTCTTTGTCTTATTGAAAAGAACTGTGCGAATACTTTTGTGAAAAGTAGGAAAATAAACTTATCAAGCTATCCTAGGTTCTGTGTGATTTCAATCCCGTACGAATTCGGACGCACGTAACAAAATAATTACACTCAATCTTCTACAGCTGTAAAAATCTATAAAAATTTTTACTATAGCTCTAAAAATAACCAAGCATGAATATCTCTCATAAAAATAGCGAAAATAAATTATTGCGACGCGGAAAAATCCAGGTTTATCTAATGTTTAATTTTGCAGCTGTAGTAAACCCTTCTTGAGCTCGAATTCGCGGGGCGCGGTTTTGCACATACGCGTTATCTTAACTGTTTCCATTTAATTTTCTTTGATAGCTTAGTGTTTTATTTGGCATTCAGCGGAAGGAATTAGCTTACTCTTGCCAGATCCTGATGGAGTCTCAAATAGGGCCTGACTTGTAATACAGCATAAGGAGGGTCAAATCAAGACTTTCAGAGGCTTTAAGCACTTACAAGATTTTGGTGCCACCCGAATACATTTGCTCCTGCTTTCCTACCATTTTTTTTTCATTCTCTCTCTCAGTTGGTTTATTCGTGGTAAAACTGGCAAAAGAATTTTTTTTCTGGTGACCATTTTCTTGAGTTCCTAATAATTTTTTGTGGTGCCGCCTTTCCTTGATGCCATAAGCCCGTACTTATATTGCTTAATGATTAACACAGCTCTGATCATAAGCTGCAGTTCTTAAATTGTGTATCATGTGGTAAGATCATTTTGATTTTATGAATGTCTCATGTGAACGCTACTCAAGAATTCTTTGAGTGTGATATCTCGTCGTGTCTGAATTCGTATCTACACCAGTCACCTGCTCTTTAAGCCTTTTACATCCTATGTTGCGTTCATATCCTTAAGTTTAATTCTTTTTGTATTACAAATTTATTTCGGACCATTTTACAATTCGAAACTGAAATCAATTTCGATGAAGGTTGAATCCAGAGTCCGAATACTCCGGTGGTTACACCATTCTCTAAGTTGCAGTAATCTCAAAGAGGGAACAAACAGAGAGAGATTTAATATTTCCAACTCCACAGAGCGACGACATCCGCGTAGTCATAGCAACGTGCTTCCGCGTGCCGTTGCAACGTCGTAGAACGGGTTGCCATAGTAACGTGCGTATTGGAGACTACCGCCCATGCGCAGATTACTCTGAGCTACCCGCTTAGCTGTGTGAAGCAAAGCTGCAATGGTTACAAGGGCTTTATACCCTCTTCTCCTTTTTTGCATTTGAGCTTCGTTAATTTCAAAAAATTCATTATGACATCTAAGAGAAGAAATGAAGACGATAAGGCAACAAAGAAACGCAACGTTTGATGTTAACTTAGAAAACTGAAATTTTGGAATGTGCGTTTCATTGCTTGTAAGAAAACGACCTGTAAACAAATCAAGCATAAGGACAATACACGAGAATTAAAAAAAGATTTAGTCTAGAGTCAGATCTTTAGTGATACTTCGGCAAAGATACCTTACTGCGAAACTTTTGAAGAGTTCCGTGAATCATTGTCCCAAGTCACGAGTTTTTTAAAAATTAATTGTATCATGTACCTGTTTATTAAGCCGTAAAAGTCGTTTCAATTAATATTTGTTTGGTTTTCCCCTTTTAATTACAACAGTATTAGGTTTGTTTAAATTATACGTACTTTTTAAATTTGACATATTTTAATTTTTTAAATTTGACGACACATTTTTTTTTCGTAGAGTTAACTTTGCGGAAGGCAATTTTGCTGTGAGTGCAATGTATTAATGACGTAACCCTCGAGTTCAGCTGAATAAACCCTCGCTGAACTCGAGGGTTTATTGTGCTTCAGAATTTTATATTTGATTCCCAAAAATTTAATATGAATGGTAAATAATTACACGATCAGTCAAACTGAGATTACTGGAAATTCAATCAATCAATTACAAACGAGATTTAATGGACGAATTCACCTCCCCTGCTTGCACCCCGAATAGCAGAAGATTTCTGTGGAGTAGCTTCATTTCCTTGCAAGTGATTCCTTGATGGCGTATAATAATATCATAACTTCGAGAAGCCAAAAGAACAACCGATGGGAGATTTTCGCCTTCGTGTTTAAATTCTGCACTATATTTTCTTAAAAACTTATAGAAAATCCCCCAATTAATATCGTTTTATTATGCTTGTTTTAAAAGTGGGTGAATGGTTTGTTCTATAAAGTACACAAAATTCAAAAGTATGTAGCAGGTATGTTTTTAGATTTTGAAATTTTGAAGTCATAAACGTCAAAAAGTCGTAAAGAGCCCGAGCGATTTTCAAAAATTTACCGAAGAATCAGAAATGACGTTAGAAATCTGATATGAATTTCATTTAAAAGAATTTTTTTCGTTTCATTCAATGGTGCAAACAGTAAATTTCTGAGATTTTTAATGTATGTTGATTAACCGAAGATTAGTGCGAAAAATCGTTTGAACTTTAAATTAAAAAAAAAGTCTAAATCTAATTTTGAAAGAAGTTTCTTCATCACATTGCACCGTCATCCACAAATAGTGCATGTACAAAATTTGAGCTCGATAGCTTATCAGGAAGAATAAAAATCTGTGACAAACTTTTGACCCTAACGACAAATGCTATGATTGTACTAAAATAAACACTTATAAATTATAATAAAAATGAAAAGAAATTATAATAATGCACGCATTTTTAACGGTCTTCTCTATTAAATAATGAAGAATCTATTAGTGTGTACGTTTTTTATATTCCTAATAAAATAGATCAAATGTTCAGTGAATTATTATAAGCCGATTTAATAGTGAAATATTGATGAAATTTGAATTAACAAGAATTCCAAAAAATTTGATCTCTTATTCTCGGGAAAGAAACTATCATGAAAACGCCAGCACCTAGAATCAACAAATAATGAACACAAGTAGACTTCCACCTGAGCATGGGGGGGGGGGGAATCTCGAAGCCAGAATTTTTAATTCCGATTTTATTTTATATTTTGTACGATTTTGATTAATTTTCATTAATAAATTCAGTAATCTGAAAACGAGCAGTGTTAATACTATTCGAAATAAAATATTTTTATCTCCGATTCGCCAAACTGTTGCCATTTGGCAAAATGTAAGAGATTAGCCCTTTAATTTTATTCAACAAAATTTGCTATTTGAAATCAAGGTGTTGCCACTGCCTGAAATAAAATACTTTTATCACACACGAACCAGCATGTTGCCCATTCCTAAAAACTAAGATATTTAACTTTCAGATTTAATCTCTCAGATATTCAGTAACAAACCAAACCATTTAAAAACAATAAACTCAGTTCTTAATATTTTTCTGTTTTTTATTCTGATTGATTTATATAAAAATGCATCCAAATTAAGAGATGTTTACTAGAAATATAAAATATTTTTAGGAAATCATACTTCCTGGACTCATTAAAATCATTGCATATATAATTTTTTTATGATAATTATTGTAGGTAACTGGATACAAGCGGCTAGTATTGTTAATATCAATACCATCATTACTATTAACAAAAACGTTTCTAATTCTAGTTCTAACAAAAGGCGGTTATTATATATTACATTATAAAATTAAAATTACTAAAAGATTATTACTAAAAGTCTTTGGATCTTTATTTCTGAAAATAATAATAATAATGATACTACTTCTACTACTACTACTAATAAATAATAATAATAATTCTGATAATAGTGTAGAAGATTTTGTAAATAATAATTTATCATATTCTTCGATTCCAACATGCCATCGAATGTAAGATGTAATTCTTATTTTCAGCCTCGTACTCTAGAGATGGATACTGCCCAGTTTTCCTTAATCTTCAAACATGTATTCTGAGCGATCGAAGAGTAGTGATGATGCTGCGCTTTTAAATGACGAAATGGTATGGAAGATTTAAATGTATTTAAATGTTTATGTGAAGTATGGAAGATTTAAAACTAGCACGTAAGCAGCATCGTAGAGTGTTTTCTAAATCGTGTAATGAATTTGATCAAAGAGAAAATTATTTAAGTGACGAAGAAAAAATTTTAGAATTAAGAGTTATTCAAGAGAAATAAAAAATTAATGATTTCAGCTGAAAACGATTGGCACAGCTTCAGTATAGCCCACCCGGAATTTTAAACAAAAAAATATTGCCAAGAGCGGCGATAAATGATATGATCTGGTAACCCATACCATTCGCCAAACGCATTGTAAACAAAAGGATGGAATTACGGTTACAGCTAATATAGTAGTCAGTTACATTTATTCAATTTCAATACAAATTACCGAGATATCCGTTTACTCAAAGTTTAATGCACGTGCCCTGTATTCTTACTTTTCCGGTATAGATTTCTCTTAAAATTTGTCTCACGCTGCGTTGCACGAAGAAATACAACATTTTAAATTAGAATTCTACTAAAATTAATATCTAAATACACAATTCGTAACACTGTTATTGGCGATTGTTTAACGCTCAGATACCGTGAATACTATTTTGTATATATTTTTTTGGTTACTTTGGAGGTGATATTTTTGCGTTTAGTTATTGCTTGCTCTAAAACTGCTGTTAGTGATGTTGTAATTAAGTATCAGGAGATATAAAGGAAAATTTAAGGTGGGAGTTTTCAAACAAGCGTAAAATTTTGGGAACATATATTTTATGTATGAATTAACAAGAGAGTATGAACTTTTTAGAGGATTTTTGATGGATTGTCGATTATTGAGAGATAACGTTTGTTGTGAAAAATGTAAGATACCATGCTGATTAGTTAGTTAGAAAAAGTCATTGAATGGTAGTATTTGGAGATGCAAGAAGTGTAGGGCTGAGAAATCAATTAGGCTAGGATCTTGGTTCGCCTGTAGTAAGCTCAAATTTTCTAGAAATATTTTTTTTTTTTTTTTTTTTTTTACAATTTGAATCAATAAAGTTGCTTATGCGCGAGTTTCTGCAATTCTCCGATTCCTTTTAAGTGAAAGCAGATTTCTTAGTATATGAGCAATGCAGAGTTTATTCAATGTCTGATTTTTAAATGAAAAGAGATCGCTATATACATGGGCAAAGCCAATGTAGTGCCAATGTAGCCTGGGTTCAATTGGGCAAAGCCAATGTAGTAATTTTTTTAAGTGAACATAGATCGATGTGTACATGGGCAAAGCCGAGGTTGTGCGCGGTGCCTAGTTTGTGCAATTCTCGGATGTTTTTTCAAGTGAAAATAGATCGATGTGTACATGGGCAAAGACAATGTAATGCGCAATGCCGAGGTTGTGGGCGGTGCTTAGTTTGTGCAGTTCTCGGATGTTTTTTAAGTGAAAATAGATCCTTTTGTACATGGGCAGAGCACTACAGACCAGGCTTCCGGCCTGGGGTATAACCAATCGGAATAGTACCTGACCTGTAGAAATTATCTACTATCTACTTTCGCCACTTCTAGAACGAGCCCCGCAAACCAGCGGCATTTATTGAGTCTAAGTCAGAAGTTACCGATTAAGAGTAATCGTTGTTACAATGGCATCTTGGCAGACATAGTCTACTACATGAAAAAATGTAGGTGTTGTACTGAGCTGAGTATTATTCTTACGCGCGTAATTACAATTGCTCAGTTTGTGTAATGTTTCATCGGCAGTAATGGGTTAAGAGCACTGAATGAAATTTGGTACATTAAGTTAGTAAGGTGTCCGGACCAAAGAATCTCCTTGCAGATTCTTTGTCCGGACTTCACTACAAATAATTATTGGTGAATTTGGCTTAATATATGCTGCATATCTGTCCGTGTCACATAATAAGGACATACTGTACATACATAGCATGAAAGATTATACATAGTACTAAAATTATACATAGCATTAAAAATATACATAGCATCAAACATTATACATATCATTGAAAGTTATACATAGTATTAAAAATTATGCGTAGCATTAAGAATTATACATAGCAAAGTTATACGTGGCATTAACATGTAATGTTAACATACATAGCATTAAAATTATAAAGTAATACCGTAAACTGTTTTACTACTAGTACACTAAGTAGATCCTACGATGTAGTTTATATGGTTGCACAATTAACGTGTAATAGAGAGCATATTAAGATACTTTAGTGCAGTTATATAGTGCGATTATATAGTATAAAATTACTTTGGCGTTACATAGTGCCTTTAAACTATTGGTTACTGGACTTAATAGATGTATAACTTACTGTTTTGCTCAATGAACTTAGTACAATGAACAAATTATATAACTTACTATCCGCACAAATATTGTACTCATTAGTAGCTGTGCACACAGAATATTATAAACATTAAATAGGTCCTAGCAGCCACACGTTATTTACATATTACATAATATATGCGTTTCATAATATGCGCTTACATAATATATAGGATTATAAGATAAATAATTAAATACTCGAATGCAGAACATTGCAAATTTGAATAGGTAAGTAAATGAATGATACTGAGATACATTAATAACGATTAATAGTGAGTAACTAATACTAAAGAATAGTATTTAATACTGAAACTCATAAGTGCATAACAAAGTTCGCAAATAGTACTATAAGTTGCAAAATTTCTTAATTTAATGCAAAACATACAGCTGTGTTTCAGGAATTTGGTGCGGAAATCGAAATGATGCAACTATCTTATAACCATTAATACTAAATAAGCGCATGATAAATTCTAGATTAGATATGCTTGCTTAGTAGGTTATACGATTTGCAATAAAGCATAATTACATAGCAGTAAAATAATAAAGAATATAGGGAAGGGCTATGGCTGACATGACATGACATTTTGATTACATAACACTTCTTGGTAATATGCAATAAAAACATAAAAGATAAAAATGACAACATACTGAGATGAATGAGTACTAAGAATGAAGTTTTGAGTACAATAAGCAAAGCACAGAATACCGTGGTAAAATGATTAAACAATTAATCATTGGGTAATAATTTACAATTTTAATGCCAAAGCATGAGATTTTGTACAACTGGCAACACATACTATGTTTTTGATACGCATACAGGGATCTTGCTTACATTACTTATGGCAATGCTTAAATATACATAATATAATACATTCTTAAGATAATTTGCTTATGAAACATACTTATGAGAGTGTCAGTTCATTACTTAATGCTAATGGGAGTCCACTTACATATATATACGTTGAATTATGTATTTACTACATTCAATTTAAATGGAAGGCATAAGATTACGATTATAATGATTAAATTAATATATTAGACACGTTAAGGTGTTGACAACATATACTGTAGTTACAACATTCAGATTAAAATGAAAGCATATGATATCAATTATAATAATTAAGTTAATACTATAATCACATCGAGGATGATTATTACAGTCAAGTAAAAGTCACATAAAATGTAGTACTTAAGGTAATACGTTAAATGCATCTAACGAATAGGATAAGAGTATGATGAAAATAATATGGACATAACAGTAGTAAACAGACATTACTTATCTGGTAGCAGGGTTATGCGCTGGGAGGTATTAGGTGACAAATGAAAAGTGTACCCTGCAGAACTTGATGATCTTGTGAAGCTTAAAGCACGCACCTTTCCGTTCTAGTAGTTTGTCCATTCCCTCCAATATCTGTCTGAAGGAGGACGCATGTGGTGCGCCTCTGTCAATCTGCATGTAAATGCATAATAGTCTGGAGTTCCGACTAGTCCACATTCACAGAGATCATGGTCTCTAAGTCCAAATCTGTGTAGGTAATCAGGAAACGGGCCGTGGCCAGAGAGGAACGTAGTCAATGAAGATGAGTTGGAGAAGACAAGGTCTGTAACTTTTGGGATAAATTTATACGTCCTTCGACCTGTCCGGGAAGAATCCCACCTCTTCTGCCATTCTGCGTAAAGGTCATCGCGTGTAATCTTTTTGAGATAAGAGGAAGGCAGAGGTAAAGCATGTTCTGGCAGGAAAATACTCGAAGCCGCTTGTTTTGCCTGTTCATCCGCAAGCTCGTTGCCGACTACACCTGTGTGCGCTGGTACTCAGTTAATGATGGGACGATAATTGAGTGGGAGGTTGACTAATGCCCTTTGTATGTTGAGTACGAAGGGGTCTCGGCTGGTTGGTCCCTCTCTGGGTCTCGGCTGGCTGGCTATGCTCGACAGTGAGTCACTATAGATATAGGCAGTTTCTTGGTGACTATATGAGAAATCGATTGCTTTTTTAATAGCTGATAATTCAGCTTGGTAGACTGTGTTGTTCGGATTGAGTCTACGTTTCCAGCGGTATTTGATTTCTCCATCGATCATTGTGCATAAGCCGCATCCAGTGCCATCCTTTGTTTTGGAACCGTCCGTGTAGATGGCTATTGAGCTCTGCCGACAGAGAAGTGTCTGCGTGTATATATTTTCGGCGAGGTTATGCTGGGCTGGGTGGCAGGGATAGTCAAAGATCTTGTGCATATACTCCGAGGTATGCAAGTTCCTGTTCGAGAGTTTATAATCTTTCCCAAGTCGGAGAGTATTGGAGATGGCCGCCTCTCGCTCTGCTACCAAGTCCAGTGGTGGTATCCCTGTTAGGACTTGCAGTGCCGCTGTTGAAGTTGTCCTGTATCCTCTGCTTATTTGCAAAAGGTGTGGGCGTTGGAGCGAGTTAAGTAAGCGCCTTTCTTGTACCGTTAGATATTTTGCCCAGATGCCGGATCCGTATAAAACTATGGCCTGAGTAACGGTGAGATACCAATGTTTTAGCAGTGTCGATGAAATGTCCCAGGTTGGAGCCGCTGTTCTCTGCATGTAATTTTTAAGACTGTCTGTTTTTGTTTTGTGTACATGGGCAGAGCCAATGAAGTGCGCAATGCCGAGGTCGTGCGCGGTGCCTAGTTTGTGCAATTCTCGGATGTGTTTTTAAGTGAAAATAGATCGATGTGCACATGGGCAAAGCCAATGTAGTGCGAAATGCCGAGGTTGTGCGCGGTGCCTAGTTTGTGCAATTCTCGGATGTTTTTTGAGTGAAAATAGATTTATGTGTACATTGGCAATGCCAATGTAGTGCGCAATGCCGAGTTTGTGCAATTATCTGATATTTTTAAGGTGAAAATAGATGGATGTGTACATGGACACCAAGTTTGTGCAATTCTCTGATGTTTTTCGAGCGAATATGGATCGTTGTGTACAAGGGAAAACGAGATAATGTGTGATGCCGAGCTGTAATGTAACGCATTTTATATGCAATGTTTAACATATCGTTTGTGTATTTTAAATTTGTATTGTTGTTTTAATTGTGAATTATATTTAAGACATCATTTTTCATTTAAACTGCATTTTTTTTATATAATTATACTGTTTTTGATATGTTTACAATGCTTTCCGACTTACGATATATATCGATAGCCCGACGACCTACTCAACAGTAGCAAAACTGTAAACTTTGACCCTATAAGTAACTTTTACCTCATTATTATAATACGTGTAGTGTTTGCTCTCGTAATTGCACTTGATAATATGAGTTCTTTGATAATATGAGTTCTTTGATAATATGTGTGTGTGTATGTGAAGCATTCCTTAGTGTTCCAAATTTGTAGTATTTATTTTCTTATAATAGTTTCTTTCATTGTGAGAAATTAGATTTTTTTATTTATTAATGTGTAGAATTCTAGTATGCCTGCCTACAGAAAATATAATGTGATTTAGGAATTTAAAAACCTGTTTTTCATTAATGCGAAGTTTGAGATTTTTAGAAAATAATTAAAATTGTCTAGTTACTGGTATGTAAGGGATTATGTCGTTATGTAGCAAAACGTTAATTTGTAAATATGATAAAATTGATATGTTCCAGAATATTAATTTAAATTAAAAAATGTTCTTTTTATTTGTATAAATGCTGAAGCTTAAAAATCTTTGAAAATACTGAAGCTGTATGAAATGCAAGCATGAGAGACTGCGACGTTCTTTATCGTTTTAATAACTGGTAGAATTCGCTTGTAAGGATCCTAAGTTTTACTAACGTTTATTTTATTTTAAATCTTTACTATCACTTCTTATTTTCTACTTCCGGCCAGAATTAAAAGCTTTAACTTATTTATGCAAATTTGTCTTGCGAACGCCAAGTACTTAAGTTGTGGCTTTTTGCCAAGCAAGAGAGAGGAAGGAGTTAATAGAAGCAGGCCGCTTGCCTAGTAGTTTTTACTCGGTTGCTGGTTGCCTTCAAGGCCAGAGGTTTAATCCTCTTGATAATTTTAAACGTATCGTAGTGTTAGCAGTTCTCTGTACTACATACGGCTTTTTGTTAATATACGGCCAATCTTGGGAGTTAGGCACTTGTTTGATTAATCCAAAGTTAGTTTAGTTAGAGTTTAGTTAATATTCTTACGTTCAGACCACAAGTGGTTGGTCTCTGTATTCCGAAGTCCGGAAATCATTGTAAAGAGAGAAAAATAAAGGGTTTCGTATACCCTTCCTGTGTGTATTGTCTACTTCCCAAATTTATTGAACATAGCTTTAGTAAGCTCCCTGTCCGAGTCAGGACAGTTAATGTTCCCTAAGCAAGTAAGGAGGAACACAGAACCTGATACGCTTACTGTATCATAGTAATTTTAAATATAAACAATTTATTATACTTATTTTCAGTTACGCCTAAGCTTAAATGTCAGAAATGTAAATTTAAAGTAAAGAATTTGATGTTAATTTACAATAATAAACAATTCCATAATTTTCTTTTTTTTTTTTTTTTCTTTTTTTTTTTTTAATAGAAAATAGAAATTACGCGTAGCATGGAGAATACCAGACGTCACAAGATTATTCCCGCCCGTTTATGGATGTCACACAGCTCCGCCTTCTCAACTTTGTTGATGTAGCCTATTCTACGCTTTTACCAAATTATTTATTAAAGGTGAAATAGTTAAAGGTTTCCGGTATTGTTTTTTAAATTACATTCTTTTAATCTTAATCATTTTTATTAATCATTTCTTAATATTTCTTTCTCTTAAAATCGTATATAATAGTCGTAAATTTATTTCTATTATTATCCACGATTTCTGGTGAAATGAAGATGGCCGCCATTTTTTGAAACACAGAGTTTCGTCGAAAATCTGGATGGCAACCATTTTTTAAAACAACGTATTTCATGAGCTTTGGCGCCAAAACAAATTCGCCAAACTTTGAAGGTGGGCTATACTGAAGCTGTTCCAAACAATTTTAAGCAAGAGCTATTTAAACAAGTTGTAGATGAAAAAATTATCGAAAAAGAGGTTGATGAGTCAGAATCATACTTAGATAGATGGAGAAAGGATGCTACTTTGGTAGACGGTTGCACGGATTTTGGCGATTTTTCTTTTGGCAAGTAATACGACTTATAGTAAACCCATTGCTAGACCAGTTATTTATGGTAGCCGATACTTTGTTGTCATTTTATTTAAAAAATAATACTTTTTATTATGCATAAATTCCGTGTTTTAAATATTATTTATGGCTTCTAAATATTAAAAATCAATTTAATTTTGCTTTTTTATTTGAAATAAAAATTTTATTGTTTATGATATTATGTTGTGGATGATGTAATCAATGACGTCACCTTACTTTAAAAGTAATTGGTTTTAATATCTATAAATTTAATCTAACGTTTTAAACATTTTTATGGCTGTTAAATATTAAAATACAATTTAATTTTGCATTTTTTTAAAATGATTTATTATGTATGATTATTTAAATATTTTAATTCTAGGCATGATGTAATCAGCTCTCTGAGTCAGTTATAGAATATTTGTTGCATTAACGAGCTGTAATCAGCTCCCTGATTGGTTACTGAAAATTCGTGCATTACCGCGCCATTTTAAAATTTAAGGTGCTACTTTAGTAGACGGTTGCAGGGATTTTTGGCGAAATACGTTGGCGCAATTGTTGGCGCGGTTTTTACAATCGTCAGCCATCTTGAAAAACGCTGTTTTTACGTATTTTACGCATAGTAAAGTATTCGAAACTTTAAAAAAATAATGCATTAATTTTTTACTGAAAACGTTGTTTTTTAAGATGGCAGGCAAATGTAAATTAATACATTTACTACGAATATAAAATACTAAAGTAAGGTTAAATTATTACTTTCATATAGCAAAGAAATAGAATAAAAACACCGCTATAAAAACACTGCGCCAACGTTTAATTGGATTAAAATATTACGTAAATTGAATATCGAATTAAAAATATCATACCAAGGTTTAAAAGAATTAAAATATTACTTAAATTCAAATCCTTTAAAATAAGTTTTATAGGATATAATTATTTAACATTAAAACATGTGTGGCATTAAATATCTCGGCAATTTTTAAAAACAGTGTATTAATTTTTTAAATAAATATTGGAGTATGCAATTATAAAGTAAAAGAAAAATATGTACTTAAATTTTTTTAAGTATTTAACCTGTCGTATATTGATAAGTACCACAAAAAGTCGGAATCATAATTTAGATATCAATGAAAAAAAATTGAAAAATGCAATCTAAGGAATTCGAAGAGATGAATAATAAAATTTTAAAATGGCGCGATAATGCACAGTATTCAGTAACCAATCTGGGAGCTGATTACAGCTCGATAATGCACAAATATTCTGTAACCAATCAGGGAGCTGATTACATCAAGCCTACAATTAAAATTATTTAAATAATCATACATAAAAAATCATTTTTTAAAAAAAAAATTTAAATTGTATTTTAATATTTAACAGCTATAAATAATGTTTAAACATTAGATTTAAAATTTATAGATATTAAAACCAATTACTTTTATAGTAATGTGACGTCATTCATTACATCATCCACAACATAAAATTCCATAAAATATCTTAACACAATAAAATTTTTATTTAAAAAAATGCAAAATTAAATTGGTTTTTAATATTTAGAAGCATAATAAATATTTAGAAGAATAATATTTAAAACACGGAATTTATGCATAATAAAACGCATTATTTTTTAAATAAAATGACAACAAAATATTGGTTACCATAAATAACTTGTCTAGCAATGGGTTTACCATAAGTCGTACCGTACCGCTCGCCAAAAAAAAAAAAAAAAAAAAAAAAAAAAATCGCCCAAATCCGTCTACCAGAGTAGCACCAAATTTAATTCATATCTTCGAATTCCTTCAAAAATGTCTCTTTCAAAGATGAATGTTGTTATTGGTAAATAGCAAGAACTATTGGCATCGGAATCAAAAAAAATTCCTTTCAGACCTTATTTTGGCCAGCCTGCCTTTCCTAATCAAAGATTAATTAAATTTCCTACGAGGGTCAGAGGAAATTTATTTTAAATTTTTGGAGGAAACCTTCCTAATTGCTTCTTCAATGAAGTGCGAAAATATAGATCACAGATGAAGATTGTTAGAAGAGCCGATTCTGAGGACGGCCGTATATGGTATTGTGTTTATGTTGGAAGAAACAAAGTATTTTTAACTATTCAATTCAAAGATTAAACGCCCTAAAATCCTGTTTAAGTTTTTTCGCTAACACTCGTAAATTTATGCGATCTGAGCTTTATTCAAGGTCATTAGCAGCTCATAAAGTTTAGCAAAATAATCCGTTTGTACTTTCACAAATGTTCTTTTAGCTATAGGTATAACATAATTTGTCATAAATGTTTTTTAAAGGAATAATAGAAAATGGATGTTGTATTTAATAGGAAATAAATATAAGTTCCTATAAAAGATAATACTAGCTCATCAATTCTTTTAGAGTTGATCGATTTATTGGCATGTGTGCGCTTTATGTCGCCACCATTTCCGGGCTCATATTGCTATATTTTGAATTAAAATAATTTTTTTACATCGATTTGCTATGTTTAACAGCAGGGATTTTGTCTTCTTTTTGCTCTGTATTCCTTACTTTTATATGCGATTTGAGAATATCGTCATTTGCTTTTGAAGAGCTCGTAATATACTGTGCATTTAAATATTTGTGAAAAAATAATAAAACAAACCTAAATTTTCAAAATGGAAAAATAGCTAGGATAGACCACGCGGAAAAGGTGATGGATCCAGGACAATCTACTAGGACTAAGAATATTGAAAAGAAAAGAAAAATTGTTTATAGGAAATATAAATGAAAGTTATTCATCATTTGCGTTTACTTGGAGATGAAATGGATCCTCAGCCTCAGTGTGTTCTTTGCGGAGAAGTATTATCCAGTCAAAGTATGAAACCATCGTTTCTTAAAAGACATCTCGAATCTAAGCACGCCAGTTTAAAGGATAAATCTGAAGAATATTTTAAGAGGAAATTATCGAAGTTCAAAAGTAGTAAACAAGTAATGAAAGGTTTTGTTACTCCAAGTGAAAAAGCTTTGAAAGCTAGTTACCTAGTAAGCCTAAGAATTGCCAAGACTGGGCAGGCTCACATTATTGGAGAAAACCTTATTTTACTAGCAGCTAAAGGTATCGTTTTAACATTATTTCTCGATGAAAGTACTGATATAATGAACTTTGTTCCATTATTAGTTTACATACATTTCGAAGAAGGTAAACGAACTGCCGAAGAGTATTTATTTTGTGAATCTCTTCATGAAAGAGCAATTGAAAATGAAATTTTCAATGTAATTGACAATTTTATGTCGAGAATGGTATTCCTTGGAATAAGTGCATTGCCGTATGCAGGGACACAGATTTTAAAAGGAAAACATTCTGGCGTTATTTATCAAATAAAGAAAGTCGCACCTAAAAACTAAATTTACTCACTGCTCCATTCATCGTGAAACTTTAGTATTTAAAAAAATCCTCGAAAACCTGAAAATCGTCTTGAGTCAAGCTGTGAAAATTATTAATTTTATTAAATGCCGAACTTTAAATTCAAAGATATTTACGATTTTATGCTAAGAGACGGGCAGTGAATATGAAACGCTTTTGTTATATTCCGAAGTAAGGTGATTACTCAGAGACAAGGTTTTAAATCATCTTTTGGAACTTCGATCAGAAATTCAAATTTTCCTCTGTGATTCAAAATTTGAATTGCAAAAGTGTTTATTTATTGAATTGTGGTTTGCGCATTTAGCATATTTAGCTGATATTTTTGTAAAGTTAAAGGAATTAAATTTAGGATTACTGGGACAAAGTGTTAATTTGTTTACCATTAGAGATAAAATAAAGCAATGATAAAAAAAAAAAAAAAACTCGAGCTAATAATCAAAGAATTGGATAATAATATTTTAAGCTTCTCATGACTTTTAGAAAATTTTCCAATCGAAAGTAATTTAAAAATAAAAGAAGAACAACATCCGACATTAAAAATCATTGTTTTTTATTGATAAATAATTTCAACATGTATTTTCATATAGGATTAGGCAGAAAAAATGAATTAGAAATTCATTTTGTGCAAATGTGCCTGAAATAATTCTATCTCGTGAAGAAAAGGAACAACTGATAAAAATTTTCTGTGATCAAGGATTTTCTTCTATGTTATATTTGAAAAATAAATGCAGAACAAAATTAAAAGTGGAGTTTATGGTTAAAACTAAATGAAGTAAGACTAGACATAAAGAAATTGATCTCTCTTAAACTGGCCCAAATTTCGCACTCAATTTTAGAATTAAAGCATTGTAATTTAAATTTGGTGTTAAAACTGTAAACAATTTTCAATCTTTTTTTTTTTTTTTTTTTTTAAATCTGTGCATATTTAATGCAATTAGTCAATAGGTGTGCAAATGGCAATATATATATTTTTGTATATTTCTATTGAGAAACTGAAAAGTAATCATGATAAAAAATGTAATAAACGGAAGTTTCTCAGTTTATGTTTAGATGGTTAGTCAAAAAGTTGAGAACCGCTGTTCTAGAGTGCTTTCGAAAAATAAATTTCATCAAGCTATTATCTCGGTTCTGTGTCGATTCAAATCTATGATAAATCCGTACACATGTAACAAAACTTTATC